ATGACTCCAAGATCCCTTTCTGCCACTGTGTTGACAAGAAGGGTATTCCCCAGCCTATAGGTGTGTTGCTGGTTCCTTCCCCCTAGATGCAGCACCTTGCACTTGTCTGCATTGAATTCCATCCTATTGTCATCTGCCCACCTCTAATTTGTCTAGATCTAGCTGGATTCTGTCCCTCCCCTCCCGTGTGCCCACCTCACCCCTCAACTTGGTGTTGTCAGCGAATTTGGACAGCGTGCATTCCACCCCCAGATCCAGATCGCTGATAAAGATGTTGAACAGCGCAGGCCTGAGGACCAAGCCCTGGGGGACTCTACATCCCTCCAGGTCAAAAACGACCCATCCACCACCACTCTCTGCGTGCGACCATCTAGCCAATTTGCCACCCATCTGACTGTAGACATCAATGCCGCAGTCACCGTGTTTTTTTAAGAGAATGTGATGGGAAACCATGTCAAAGACCTTCTTCTTTAGAAGGAGCTTCTCTCATTGGGGTCCCAGGTTTTATAGACCCTCAGCCCAGAGCAGTCCCACTGGGAAAGGTCAGGTAGTGCCAAGCTTTCTCCCAAGTAAGGTTCCATATAGGCCTGGAACACCAACCCCACCATTCCCAATTGTACAGGGTCAGAGGGAAATACTTCTCACCACAACTTCCTTGAGGAGCATTCTCATGGGAAGGAGCCAGCAGCAGCTCATTTGACATCTATTAAGGCATTGTGGGGATTGAGGCCCATACACCTTGTTCTCTCCAGTGCTTCTGGGCTGACCTTCCAGCTGGGTGCAGCTTCTTCATTATGACTCCCTGAGCATACAGGGCTACAAAGCCACTGCATTGCCCCTGGCAGAGGCTGTGTTAGTCAGCACAGGAAGTGTGATTGTTGACTACAGCTGCTAGGGCTGCCTGTGAGCAGAAAGGAACTGTATGGTGGTGCCAGCCATTCCAGCAGCTTGGGATCTCAACAGCAGGTAGGTGATTGGTGGGGGTGGCATCCTGCCATAGAAGCCGAAAATGGCTCTGTCTCTTGCTAGAACCTGCCCCTCAGGTTCTTGGACTCTACCGGATGCTTCTCCAGATCTTGGGGCAGTTGGCTGGTGTGTCATATTTCTCTGTAGAAGACTGTGTTTTCCTGGGAGCCAGCACTTGCAGTTTGTCCATGGAGAACCATGCACCTTTCCTCTAAAGCTGTATGTGGGGCCCAGGCTGTCCAGGGGTTGAGCCCAGTATTGGGCCCTCTCTTGGGGCTCTGGAAACCTGTGAGTGCTTCCCATCACACCAGCTCCAATGTGCTTTCTCTTTTTCCTCCCAGACTCCAGCCTTGAAATCCTGGATCCCAACGAACTGACCATGCTCTTCATGGTGAAGTCCCAGTCCATCAACCACACTTCAGAAAATCAGCGCAATCCAGAAAATGCATCTAAAATCATCTATGATAGCAAATTCCCATAAGACAGCACAGCATGGAGCACTTCAGGTGCCCTGCTCTTTCCAAGGTTCTCCCATTTGTTTCCTTTCAGCCAGTTTTTGTACTGCAGTTTGTGAACAAGCAAGGTCAATGTTGTGACCCCAACACAGCTGCCTTCACTGTGTTCTGTATTTGTAGGCTCACCTTTCCTCCCACTTCATGGCCACTTGGAATGCAGCTATTTTGAGTTAGGAGCCCACTGCCAGCTGATCGGGCCATGGCTACCACAGGTCCTAGGGAGCTGGTGAATGACATCCTGGAACCCATCCACTTGGCTTATGGTGTTGGATGGCCAGGGAAAGACTAGGAGTGAGGCAGGAGACTTATCTTCTTCTGCACTAACAGGTCAGAGACCAAACCCTTGGTCAGAGGCACCAGCCATAGTGCCATTGTGTAGCTCTGAGGAGCCCTGAGAGTCCATAAGCTAGGATGTGTGGGTGGCGGTGGGGTGGAGACTTAGTGTTAAGGAGACTGTATGTGCTCCAGTGAGAAACAAAAGTCAGTTCTTAGCAGGATTCAAATACTATTTTCAGCCTAGACAGCACCCTGCTGTCAAGTCCTGGCCTCCCTGGGATAGAGATTGTGCAGAAGGATGGTGCCTTCTTCTCCTGACACATGCACTCCAGGCTGTACCATCCAGCTGAGCCTCAGGGGCCCCCATGGTGGTGGAGGTAACCCTAAAGAAGAAGGCAGGAAGTGCATTTCCTCTAGGGCCTTGCTGAGGGGAGAGAGAGCAATCCCCTCTAGAGCTGGTACTGTGCCTCTCAGACTTCAGTACTACAGCCGAGTAGCGCACCTTGCAAAAGCTGGCACAGTGACCCTGGAGAGTCCACAGGCAGAGCCTCGCCATCGCAGCTGGTAGCTTACACAGTACCACCCAGGGACTGGTGATGCAGCTTGGCCACAAGAGTTTGCACAATGCCCCAAGAGACTAATCAAGACCCCAGCCATCAAAGATGGCTCAGTGACCCCCTGAGAGACCAATGGCACAACAGCCATCCCTGTCAGTACAGTTCCTCCTTCCCCTGAAACCAGTGGAGACTAGTATCATGGCTGGTACAGTGCCCCTCAGAGACCTGTTGTGCAGCCCAAACAGTAACAGCTGCCACAGGGCAAGCCTGGGGTAAACAGAGAAAGGCAGAACTGAATGGGAGCAGAGCAAGAGGCTCAGCTGCTGGCTGAGGAGGGCACCAAGAATTGGGGTGAGGGTGTCCCCCCTGAACTCCAGTGCTTGGCCCAGGCATCAGGAATGGAGGTGGGGGATATGGAGGGATCTAGACACATTTGCTCTGGAGCTGGTCATGAGCCACTCTGTGGGGTGTGGGTGGGGTGGGCTGGGTTCAAGTCCACCTCCCTGGCACCACTACACTTCCTGCTGCTGGGATCTGGGTCCAAGCTGGGTTCCCTGCTGCCTGCTGTAGGTCTGTGCCAAGGGGTTAATGCTGGAGCAGTAGCTGTACCTGGCTGGTAGCTGGGTGGGGGCGGGGGAGCTGTGGCTCTGCACCTTGGCAGCAGAAGCTGCTCTTAGAAAATATTTGCTAAGAAAAGTGCAGCTCCACCCTGGAGAAACCACAATCCGGGGCAAGCAGCGGCCTTTGAGCAGCCAGGTTAATGTTTGCAGGGCGTAGGTGACGCTGAAGTTTGTGCAAGGGAATGTGAGCCACTAGCGAAAGCCCCAAGGCGCCTGCTTCCTTATGAGGAGTCGCACAACCCACCAGCCCACTCCTCTGGCCTGGGCAGGCGGCCCAATGAGGTGGGGGTAGGGGACATCCAGGAGCCACGACAGGTCCCCAGGGACGCTGGCCTGGTGAGTCTGCCTTCGTGGCTGAGTGTGTGGGAGCCAAGTCCTTCCTTCAGTGTCTCATCTTGTGGGCATGGCCAGCTTGAGCTGTCGGGGAGCCCTGCTGACCTCTCTCCTCCTCCTGTACCCACTCCTTTGTGCTGCCTGCCCAGCTGTTTGCAGCTGCTCCTCAGGGGAAGTGGACTGCCGTGACCATGCCTTACATTTTGTGCCCAGTGGCCTGCCCACCAACGCCAGTGCAGTGCTGCTGGGCTATAACCGCATCGCCGGGCTCAAGGCTCACACCTTCCTGCAGCAGGTGTCCTTGCTGTACCTCAGTCTGCATGACAACGTGCTGGTGAGCATCCACAGCCAAGCACTCGCAGGGCTTGGGGTGCTGCAGGAGCTGGACCTGAGCAACAACTACCTCGTGGTGCTCACAGCAGAAACCTTCCTGCCACTGTCCAGCCTCACAACACTCAATGTGGGCAACAACCAGCTGGCCCAGTTGACCCCAGATGTGCCGCGCACCTTGCCCCGACTCCAGGCTCTGTTTCTGCACAACAATGCTCTACGGTTCCTGGACACTGGCTTCTTTGAGAACCTGCCTGCTGTACACTTGCTGACACTTGGGGGCAACCCCTGGGCATGCAGCTGTGCCATCTGGCCCCTCTTCTTCTGGCTCACCCACAACAGGGACAAGATCCAAGGTAAAAGGCGTGGGGTGTGTATGCAGAGCACCCTTGGGATGGCTGGTCAAGAGCAGTCTGGGCCCCGTCTGCTCTGAGGTGAAGGGCAGTCCCAAGTGCCTCCCCTTCACTCTCCACCGGGTAGGTGTTTCAGCCCTTGGTCCATGGCAAGCCCACAAGGCTTTATGGAGCATTGCCATGGGGCAGCAGGAAGTACCCCCTGCTTCCTCCATAATGCTGGAGCCAAGGATGTGCTGCCTGGTGCTGAGCTATGATGGTACCTGTGACTTCCATCTGCTTCCCTCCTCTGAGAAAACCTCCAGTTCTGGGGCCTGGGCCAGCTTATGCTGCCCTGCCTTCAGGCAGATGCTGGCCAGGCTGCCACCAGGCACAGGGTGAACCTGTCATGAGCAGGGCATAGGGGGGGAGCGGGGGGAGGCTGTGAATGGCCTTGGACAAGGGTTCTGTAAGTGCACTGATGGCACCAGCATAGCTGGAGCAAGGCTGTGGGAACTGAGCACAAAAGTGTGGGGCTGGTGCATAGGAGATGCCCAGGAGAGCCTGGGCAATGGGGAGAGCACTCTGCAGAGGTACAGCCCTTAACCCCATGGTGCTGGATTGGTGGCCCTTTGCCCCCTCCTCCTTGTTCTCCCATTTCCCCAGGGAGAAGAGCTGGCCTGTTGTGAGCCCTGAGGAGAGAGGTGCTCCCCAAGGCAACAGGATGCCCAGCTTCAGCTCAACTGCTCCCATGGGCACCAACCCTGCCCCATGACCAGGGACTCCAAGGGAAAACAGTGGCCACAAGCACCAAACCCATCCCTGCCATGGGCTCTGTGGGGAGAGATGCCCCCCACACTACAAGGGACTCAGAGGGGATGGCCTGAGGGATCAGAGTCTTGTGCTGTAGGTTGTTATCCCTTAGTGCTGACCAAAGGAGTGGCCAGGGCCCTCTGTCACCTGCCCACAGCCTGGAGGCCAGTACCATGTTGAGGCTGATGTGGGCAACTGGGGCATTGATCTTTCCCAGCTGCAACAGTTGCCCAACCTCAGTCTGCATCACTCTGACTCTGTCATCCTGGCCCTAAGGTGTCCCCCTGTGCCAGTGATGCTCTCCCACCTGCCCTGGCGGTGCCCTGCCCAGCCCTCCTGCCTCATCCCTTGCTGATGGCACTAGGCACCTCTGCCCCCTCATCATGTCCACAAAGCCAAGGCAAAACAGAAGTTGCCCTTGCTGGCAAGTCAGGAGCTGACTGGTGCATTTCTTTTCATCTTGCAGAGGTGAATCTGACCCTGTGCCGTTTCCCAGAGCTGCTCAACCAGTTTCCCATTGCAGCCCTTGACAACGCCTCCTTCAGCCGCTGCCAGGAGAGCCCACTACATCCACACAACTATACTTTCTTCCTGCTTATTGGCCCAGCTTCCTTCCTAGGCAGCATCATCATCTGCATCCTCACTGGCTGCCTGGTTGTGGCCTGCAATAAGCTGAGCAAAGACCCCTACCCCCGGCAAAGAGCCCTGCGACCCAGGATGACGCCGCCCCAGCAGTAGCTCTGGGATGGGGCAGGGAAGAGCTGCGGTGATACAAGACACTGGGCAGGGCAGGGACATGCCAGGCTGGCACCAGCTTGCAGCCAGGGCAGGGAAGTGCCTCTAGCCCTGGGAGGGATGAAGTGCCAGTGCCCCAGGGTTTATGAGCTGTGCTTCTCATGCTGTGGGGCCTTCCCTTCTCTCCCTCCTCAGGCAGGAGCCCTGTTCACATCCTCTAGCTGCCACCAAGAGCCAGGGAAATGACAGACCTTGGTGTTCAACTGGGCAGTGCCCAGTCCATCCGTGGGCTTGATTTAGCCAGTGATCCCAATCTGCTGTCCAGGGCAGATGCAGTGGAGCCCCATCCAAGCATGTGGAGGGAGGTGGAGGGGAGCTTGGCCCTGATCCAATCCTAACTAGGCCCTGCAGAGGTGGGGGAGGGAGCATGAACCAGGCCCTGCAGAGGTGGCGAGAGGGAGCTTGACCTCAACCCACAGAAGGAAGGGGGCAAGTTCCTCTGTGCAGGAACAGGGGGCATGGGAATTTGGCAGCAGGGAGAGGTGGCAGTAGTATTTGCCACTGCTCCCTTGGCACGAACTTTCCCGACCTCTGGAGAGCCCTGCAGGCCTAATGCCATGGCTCTGCAGACTGCATTTGGTCTGCAGGCTCGAGGTTGAGTACCCCGATCTAGACAGACAAACAGGAACCTTCATTTCAGGTGGCTGACCAGAGCAGCCCCCTAACCTGTGGCAAGGGTAGAAAGCAGCTCAGGCTTCTAGAGGCCCCAGTCTCTCTGCTTTTGTTCTGATATTTAGTCCTGGACAACAGGACTGGGCCAGGGCACCAGCACTTTCACACCCTATCCACTTGCAGTGATCCCCAATACTTAGAAGGACTTCTTGCTTTAGTGTCAGGCATCCAGGTTGTAGCCATATAGGTCTAGAGGCAAAAGGAATCAGAACTCATGGCAGAGGTGATATCTTTTATTAGACCAACTAGATACTTGCAAAAAAAATATTTACTTGCAGGCTTTCACGCACAGGCACCCTTCATCAGACATAGGACATTGCAAAGATTGTAAAAGTTCTCCTAGTATCTCTCCCTGATGAAGGGTGCCTGTGCCTGAAAGCCTGCAAGTAAATATTTTTTTTGCAAGTATCTAGTTGGTCTAATAAAAGATATCACCTCCTTGCTCCAGTAGCATGTGGGTAGTTCCTGCAGTGCAGAGCACCCAATGTGTGCAGGGGGAGGGAGTACTGCTCCCGTACTACAGCCACTGCACATAGCAGAGAGCCCTGCAGGTGCAAGTCAGCACAGTTGCACTGAAGCAAGGGGAACTGGTGGGGCAGCAGCACAGCACTGAGGATACGTACTGTCCTTAGGAACTACCTCTGACACACTCCAGCACTGCACACCAACAGGAATGCTGGCTTAGCTCAGGGGACCCAGCTATACCAGGCTTATCCTTCACAGCCTGTAGCTACTTAAATCCAGTGCCGGCTGTGATGGGTGTCAAGGAGGGAGACAGACGCAGACAGATTTCCAAACTGACCTAATTATGCTTGATTTTAACCTGGGGGTGTTGGAGGAGCAGCAGCTGAAGGAGGAGCTGCAGCTGAACTTTTCCTTAGGCATGTAACAGATTGCTTAATTATGCTAATGAATAAAAGAGGGCAGGATCTAAATCTCCAGGATTGCAGAATGATGATCAGTAGTGTAACTGGAGGGGCAGGACCTAGCCCTGGGTGCCAACTGTGACAGGGTGCCAGAACCTACCCAGGAAGTCTTTGCTGCTGCAGGGACAGCCCTGCATTGCCTGTCCAGAGCAGCTGGACAGTACAGCCCTGCACCCAGCAGTGTATCTGTGGGTGGCAAGTGGAATAGTTCCCCCCCCAAGTTTTGGTCAGAGCAGGCACAGCTTGGTGCCCCATAGTATAGCTGGGGTGGAAGGAAACAAGCAGGGCACGAAGCCCAGCTTCATGGAACCCAAGTCATGGGGCTGTTGCTACCTGTGTGGATACTGCTGCAGTCACAGTTATAGCAGCTGCTTTTGGTGTACAGAGAGCCCATGCAAGTAAGACTCCCCTACCCTCACCCCCACACCCAACAAGGGGTTACCCCCTCCTCCCTCCCGCCCTTGAATAAGCTTGCTGTACCTCTGCTGCTAATGAGTGTAGATATCTGAGGTTGCCTGGGCTGTGGCTGCCTTGCAGGACTGCCAGAGGCCAGGGAGATGCCAGGGTTGGGATGCACTCATGTGCAGGCATACATTTGGTGTGGCCCTGCCCCAGCCAGCTGGCATGGCATTTCCTTTCAGGGGCCTGGGCCAGTTGGACATGTCCCAGGCATGTCTAGAAAGCTGGGTCAGGTGCAGATCAACAGTATGGCTCTGGGCCCTTGCACATGCTTCACAGGCCCTCAAGATTTTGGGAGCTCTTGCACAGCCCTCCCCTCTGCATGGCTTCTGTCTCTGGCTTTTAGTGAAGACTCTTTGCAAATGGCACCAGCTGAGTCTCTGAGGTGACCGACCTGCCAGTGTGGGGGTTGCTGCTGAGGCTCAACTTTTCAACAGTTACGGCAAGGAAGGAGGTATGTGGCACTGCAGTACTCATCTTTAGCATCCCGCCGGGACTTTACTCAGCTCTTGCAAAACCCATGTCTTAAGTTACATTACATCAAAGTATAAAGGATAAAAGATTGAATCCTCACCAGGTTTAAACTGGCATCACCTCACTGGACTCAGCGGAGCTGCATTAATCCAGGGAGCTATGCCATTACACCAGCTGATGACTAGGCCCACTGGTCCTGGGAATGTTGCACAGTGCAGCTCCTTCTGCAATGGCCACCAATCCTCAGAGTCCAGCCCAGCCTTTTGAAGGGGCAAGCCAGTGGCTGCTGCTCCTTGCATGCCACCAGCTGGCCATGCTGGGCTGGGGACAGGATAAGCAGAGGGCTCGGTGTTCTGGTGTCAACATTGCAGATGGGTTTGCTTTTAAAAAAATGTATATACATCTCGCCTAGTAAAGGGTAACAGCAGCAGCAGCTCCGCTGGCACCCAGGGCAGCTGGACAGGGGCAGAGCAGGGCCACCAGCTGTGCACTGCTTGAGAGCAGGCTGCAGTGAGGATGGAGGAAGGGGCTCACTAAGCTAATTCCCCACTGCCTGCACAGAAGGGTTTGTGGGAGCCAGCAGAATGATGCACACTGTCCTGTATGAGGCGGGGGGAGGCACTCTTCCAGAAAGGCAGGGTGGTAAGGCCTGTCGCATCCCAACCTCTGAACTGGTCTCATTTTCAATGAGGACAGATAGAGAATCAGGTCACAGCTGCAGGATGGGCCAGGTCCCATCTCTGTACACACCAGGACTCTATGCTGGCTGAGGCCCACTGGTGTTGCTGCTGTGCTGCTAGCCAGCTCGTGCCGCAGGGAAGATCTGAGCGTCCAGCCAGTGTGGTCACTTTGGGGTACATGCTCCAAGGATGACCTACAAGCAACAGGCCAACAGAGCAGGACTGGAGTCCATGCAGGGATACCAGAACCTCCTGGGCTCATTCAGCTGGAAGGCATCTCACTGCTACAGAGAGCCTTTCTCATCAGATTGATAGGAAGTGCAGTGCCCCAAAGGAATCTGGCAGAAGCTGGGACAAGGAGGAAGAGTGGAAATGGAAAGGGATGGGAAGCACTTCCACAGCCTATTATCATGACACATGCCCAGAACCTGTCAGTGCCTGGTGCAAGCAGCAACCCCACCCCCTACTATAGTATTACAAATGTTAATGGAGGAGCTGGGCATCCTCACTTGCTCTGTGTGACTGGGGCATGACAAGGGCTATGTAAAAACAGCCTACTCTGGTGGGAGCCAAGAGCAGTGCGGGTTTCTTGTGCAGGCAGGTGGGATGGAGGAGGGAAGGGTGGAGTTCATGATCATCTGGAAAGGAAGAGAGCTGAAAAGACTTGTCCCAACTACAGCCACAGAGAACACCTGTTTGATCACTGTCCCCTAAGGCTGCATCTGTCTCTGAAACAGACACACTGAACAGAAGCATGATCAGCTATGTACAATCATCCACTGCGCTGGGAATGTTAGCACATCACACCATAGTCCTCCAGTGTTGTGTGAAATACATTGCGTAGGGTATGCATGCACTCACGAACAAGCAGGATTGTAGCAAATAACTCTCCTCTCCCTGTCAAGGAAGATATGTTTGCAATCATCCCTGCTCTTCTTGCTTTCTTTCCACAAGAAGGACAGGTGCCACGGTGCAGCAGAGCTGTTCTTTCCTTGAGTCCAGCACATGATCAGCCAGTGGCAATACTGATTAAAAACAGCACTGATTGGAAGCAGTTGTCTTTGTACAATGAAGTTCCAAAATGGGACCCGGTCCTGTGGTGCAGCCTGGCATGCTGTTATTGCCAGTAAGCCTAGGAAGGGAAGGAGATATACAATGACGTCACTGCGTATGGATGAAGGATGCTTCCCTCTTGTCTCACCAGTAAAGACCAATCAGTGTCACTTTGAAAGGAAGTCCTGGCTGTGCCTTCCTAGGCTGCCTGGCTAGGACCGATGGCTCCTGTGGGAGAATGTCACACCACAGTGCTGACTGAGGGGTCGGAGAGGTTGAGTTGCCCGGTAATGTCAGTGGGATGATACTGCTGCAAAAGACAAACGCACAGACAAGGAGAACGTGGTGTTAGGTAGCCCTAGCACTTGCTGCCTGGTTAAGCTCAGTTCAAACGTGTATCCCTACAGGAAATTGCTCAGGGATGATGCAACAGCAGGAAAAGTGCTGCCGTCTTAAGAGACAATTGCAAATGCAGTCAAAGCTTGTCCAGAGGTCACTGCAAACAGTTGGCAAGCATCCCACAGCTCACCTCTGACAAGTGCATGGAGTACAGTACAGTTTCTACAGAATATGGCAGCTGTGTCGCTTACTGAGTGACTGCCTCTGCTTCAGTGAGGAGCTATTGGACTAGAAGATCCTAGGAATCGATTAGAGCCAGCCCATCGGGTTAGTTATAGTTTGGAGAGTCTGGCTGGCTTTAAACATTTGACTTGCTCCCGATGCCTACCTTTGCTTTAAGGTCAGGGCACTACCCTCTGGGTTCCAATGACTCTGTTTTTATCTTTCCTGTCACACTGGTAAACAAATGTGCAACTTGGCTTTATTTGTGATCATCTGAAAGACAGCTGTTAATGTGAAAATGCCATGTTGGTCCTGTATTAGAGAAGTGGCCTGGAATTTGGATTCTCTTTTCCTCATAGAAGGAATTTGGCAAAAGCTACCTGGGAAAAACCATCCTAGTTATACAACTCACTGCCAATAGCTGTAAGGATGGCAGAGATCAATTTAAATTGGAAGGAACCAAAATATCTCCTTCCCCCAGGAAAGGCTTCATAACTAGGCAGGCTCATTCTTTTTCACTGCTCTTAACCTCACTGCCTGAGCAGCATAACCCCTGGCACAGAGCTGCATCCTTCAAGCCCACCACCATGAAGTCTGGGAGAAAAGGTAATACCACCCAGAGATTCCCAGAAGAAAAAGTCATGTTCTTTATGGATCCAGATATGGCCTGTCAACCTTAACTTCTTTTTTCCCCACTTGGATACTACAGGGCCCAAGCCAGGGCCTGCGGACGTCAATGGAATGATGGCTATGGATTCCAATAGACATTGGAGCAAGCCTAGAGAGCAAAACATCCAATTTCCATCCATTTGGGAGCTATCTTCTACTCTTTCACTCCTCTACCCCCCACTATTAACTGCTTTGTGCTGCCCTGACTTGAGACCTGCCCTCTGAACGCAGAAATCCAGGGCCGGTTTCTATATCAAACAAAGACTACTGAACACTCAGATGGACATGAACATTGCACCACTTCTGATAAACAGGAGTAGCTGCATCCCAGGTTGTATGCGTGAGAGAGATGGCATCATCTGTGGGGTCCAGAGACACAAAGAGGTCTCAGATGATGTATAAGGATTAGTGGCCCATCAAGTTTTCTGTGGGTTGCATGTCTCTAAGAATACTCTCAGCCAGTGCTCGCTTGTGCCTTGTACTATGCTATGAATGACTATATCCACCTTGTTCTGTATTTGTTGGTATTTTACCATTTTGCATTGTTCCTGTGTGTAGTTTATTTACAGATTTTCTGAGTTTATGATATGTGCACATATCAGGCCTGTGAATTATGGCTTTTCAAAGGATATAGAGGCTTATGGCATGGGTGTTTGGACTGTGTGTGTTTTATTCAAAGATAAAGACTGTGGTGGTTCCTTTGGGGGCTGTAGTGTCATAGTGTTTGTGTTGATAGATTTGTGTATAAATGGAGGAGGAATAAGTTATAGCTCCATAGACAAGACTAAAGTGGATTTTACACTGAAGGCAGGAATCCAATCTTCTTGTTAAATACAAAGAATATAGTATGAATTCCACATACAAATTATTCCTTGAATGAATATGTTGGAGATGATAAGCAAATCCACTGGTTAGTTTACAGAGATAAAAAAAATGTTAAAATGGAGCCTCAAAGTATTTTTAGTTAGGCCATTTTTTGGCCCGTACAATCCCACCTCAGCCCACATCTGTTTTCACAAACCTGGGTAAAGTGGTGAATTCTGAGTAGATCTGGTGCAGTATGTAGGGTTTTATTTTGGTCTAAGAAAGAAACTCATCAAGAATTTCCCTTTCTCAAAATGGGTGTCAGCTCCTACAATTCTCAGTGGGCGCAATCACACTGCTATTAATGTGCAGCAATAAGCTCCAGCACATATCATGTCGGAGTTAATTGCTCCCAGGCGCCACACTTGAATGTGCGCCTGTGACCACAGCATGCTGAACTGGGTCAGAGCTAGCCCCAGCTGGCAGGAGGCCTAGGGGGTCAAGCCTGCCAGCCCAGAGCTGCTCTGATCTGGCTCAATATGCTGCGGAGAGGCTGGCTGGGGGATAAGGGTGCTCCAGCATGGGGCTAGCTGGCAGGTAGCCCCCACACTAAAGCACCCTTATGCCCCAGCCAGTCCCATCAGCATCTACATGTGCATTGCAGCGCAGTAAAAAACTCTGCCACAGGATAGTAAATGTATTTACAAGAACTAACCTGCGGTGGAGTTAGTTTACTGAGGCCGAATAAGGTTGCATGTGTAGATGCTGAGACATTTACTGTGGAGCTAATTAGGCAGCTCCACAGTAAACGTTTCATGTAGACGTGCCCAGTAGATCATAGGCAACAGGCTGTTAGCTGCGTAACTAGGATGGCACGACTGGGGCAGCAGCTCTGGGTGCAAACTTGGATGGCAGGGCAAGGAAATAACAGCTAATACTGCCACCAGCTGGCTATAACATAGGCATTGGCACTCGGGAAGCACCACTACCTCTTGTGCCACTGCTGCCCCTGGTGCCAAGCTACTCTGTTACACCTCTGCAGCCTGTTCACCAAATCCCTTAATCTGAATTTGAGAGTGCTCTTTTTTTGCCTCCTGACAGCTTCACTCTGAAGGTGATATAGCTGCATTTCCACTGGATAAATACTGGAGGCAGTGGCTATCTTGGCTAAGAACCGTATGCCCACTGAGAACTTCAGTCATGCAACAGCAGTCAGTTTGAAACAGGGAAGCTCTGAGTGTCATCTGAAGGCAAAGATTTTTATGCACTAATCTCTGCAGAAGGAAGATTTTTAATTAGAAAGAATAGTAGCCAATTATGACACTTGGTTTTTAAAGATAACAATGTGTAGCATGGAAGGCAGCAAAAAAGGGAAGCTAATGTGTTTGTGTGTGTTCAGGCATGTACACACATACGCACACATGCACAGGATTGCCAATAACAATGTTTCAAACAAAAAAGAAAAGAGGTAAGCCTACAAAATGGGGGAGGTGGTTAAAAAAAAAGATCAGGTTGTGAATTTCAGGTCAATCTTTTGAGTTGGAACTCTCCCACACCCACCATGCCCTGTGATGAGAGGGGAAGATGACCTCCTCCCTGAGGGAGAGTACAACAGCCCTGCTGAGGGAGCTCTAGCTGGAAAGACCCAGCTGAGTGTAAACCACACACACGTGCATAAGACTGCCTGGTGTTGTGGGCCTCCCAGCTTCACCCCAAGCACTGCAACAGATTGGTGCTGTGTCCTCACCTACCTATACATGCACTTCTCTCTCCCCGCAACCAACTATGTCATCACTGCCTCCAGTCTCACGTCCAGCCACCCATCTATCAGCCTAGGCACCTAATGCTCAGTGCTCTAAGGCATTTCACGCACCCTTCCAGCTGGAGGAGGGAAAAAGGTTGCTGCGGGAAGCTCCTCTGCTTCCCTTTCCCAGGCCTGCAATGGAGAGGGTGGTGGGAAGAACAGGGAGGCAATGAGGGGTTTCCCCCAGGTTGAGGTTGAACTACCCTGAGCTATTGGGTTATCTGCTCCCCTTTCTCCCCTTCTTTATCCTCAAACTCTTTTTGCACATAGGAAAGGGGGAGGAGCTGTGTCCACCTTCTGAGAAACTGCTCTTTCCTCAGAGGTTGGGAAGGGGCCAGGAAACCAGTCAGAGGGCAGGTCTACAGGAGATGCTAACTGCACAGTAGCCTAATTCTACTGTGCAGTAGCAGGCAGGACAAAAACCATGTTAATATGTTACTGCGCAGTAGTATTAGGCTACTGCACAGTTAGTGTCACTAAAAAGCTGTGCACTGACGTTACTGCACAGGACTGCCAGTTAGTGCACATTGATTTAGTACTTGGTTATACAAGTACTAAACTTAATACACAGTAACTGTGCCCAGAGAAATTTTTTTTTGCTTGAGCATGGCTGAAAAAATGCATGAGGGCTGAAGCCTCTGGAGTCACTGAGCCCGAGTCTAATGGGTTAACTGCAATTTATTTACAGGACTTAGCAATGCTGGCATGTGCACGTATGCATGTACATGAAAGGAAATACAAGGGTGTGTAGGAAGAGCTTGGACTCTGGAGAAGTTGTATATGAGGGAATGTGGAGAGCAGGGAAGAGGAAAACCAGGGTGTGCAGTCTGACTCATTGTGTGGCTCTGCAAAGTCCCAGTAGAACAAATCTATCTGGCCAATGCAGTCTGGGACATTTGCACAATTCCAAAATGGCACAAAATAGCCAGATACTGGTGAATTTGGCCATAAAAGTTTAACTGCAGGAAAAGGATTTCAAACTAAAAACCGTATCTCGTCCAATCTTAGAATTATCCCATGCTGACATGCTCTTTGACTTCCTTGTGTAGTGTTCCTGCATTATTAGTGTCCATGTGATAATAATTTAAAGAAACAAGGACATTTCCAAATATAAAGTATGTTAAAAAGGAATTAAAGTTATGACTACATATCAGTAATTTAGCATAGTTTACATTACAGGAATGATTTAAGTAGCCCAAAACAAAACGTTATCACACCAAAATTAAGAGTTCATCTTAACTACAAAAGGACTCAAGCATGGCGAGGTATGGAAATGAAAGGAAGGCACTTGCACAACCTAAAGCCTGCTTTGAAATGAGACCATGAAGAAAAAATATAGGCAACAACCTAATGTCTTTTAAAATCAATTTAATCTAACATGGGATCATATTATAAATTACATGTAATAGTCTGGATTGTCTTTTTTATTAAAAATTGTGTTTTTAACTAAATGCAATGCTTATGGGAGGTGTTTGTTTTCCTCAATTTTTCTATTAGGAAACTGGTTATTTGATAATTTTGAGGGCTAAAATACTTGGTTTTTAATTGAAAAGTCAAAATTTTTTGCAGAACCCACCCTGATCTTCTGAGAGGCTGGACTAAAATACATCAGTTATAACTGAATAGGCATTCATGACAACACCGTGCAACTCGTATGGTGGCAGGGGGAGGGGGGATGTCTGTTAGCAGTTTTATGCTTATCTGTGGGAATAAACTGTGCCTCCCCAGGGCATACGAGGTGTGGTATAATTTCTGTGAAGATGGGGACATGTCCAGGAGCAGCTAATGGATGCAATGCAGTTTCTCTAGTGTTTCTGGGGTATATGACATCCTGGTAGGGGGTGTGTGTGTGTTTTACAGGATCTCAGGGGGCTTTCCTGGGGGCTGTAACATCTTGGGTGATTGCAATGGACATTAATACATCAGCTCTATGGGCATTATGTGAGGTGCAGGAATTACCTATGGGGAATAAACGCATGTCCTGCTGTGTCTGTGGGGATTATGTGCACCCCAAGTATTGTCACTGGAGAGGCTGTGCATCTCAGATGGCATCAGTGGGGGTTAGAACATCCAGAGTGATTTCCAAGGGGCTGATTCTTTCCCAGGGGGCATCTTGGGATCCACAGTGCCATCATGTCTCTCTGGCGCTCTAAGGGGGTCATTCTGTGGGATTGCAGAATAGAATCCACCTTTAAAAACACAGACAATGACAAGGAAAGAAGCAGGCTGCCAGCTTTGCATCTTTCATGTGTGTTTCCAGGTTGGATAGACTCCCTGCTGCTGGAGAGTCCCCCCTCAAGCTCTACAGGTTGTTGTAGCCTGAGTGTGCCCAAACCTTGCCCATCTGAGGCCTGTCTACCTGAGCCTGATACTCAAAAGACAGCAGCTGGCTGTTGTGCTGATGTGTAATAGGGCGACACAGTCCTGGAAGATTACTTGTCCCCAGGAGACTATGTGCTCTGTTTTTGCCTGAGACAAGTGGAGCTTTCCACAACATGAGAACTTCAGGCTTTCTGTACTGGAGCAGAGAAGCAGCACAGGCTGTCAGTGTGAGTCCTCTGCTCTAGCCACTGGGAACACCAGCTTGTTGCTGGATGATCTGTTGTGACATTAGCCAATCAGAATTCCTGTCCTCTATAACAGCCCACATGGTAGTGATGTCTTTGAGGAGATGGTACTTCTGGCAGTGTTTTAGGAGGTGGTAACAGCCAGCTCACCTACCCTTCAGTAACACTTGTCCCAATCTATACTAATGAAATGACAGAAGCCTACTATAATACTAGGTGGCTGTCTCAGCCACCAAGTTGGTTCTTATTGGACTTGCACCCCAGAGCTAGCAGTGGCACCCACCATTGAGTGTGTGTCACTGCACCCCTCTGGGCAATCCCTCAGGGAGCATCAGCAAAATTACCATGGGTGGTAGCTAGCGCTGGATGCTACCAAAGACATACTACACTTGTGTGCTGGATGAAGGGGTAGCCATCACAATAGCATGGGTTTCTACAGCCTGGATTAAGAAACTAGCTTTTTGCAGGTGGAGCTGTAACAGACTCTGCCCCTCTGAGTTAGTTAGCTAACAAAGGCTAAAAGGAAATACT